CAACCTTAATGATTCTATGGTTCTATGATTTTTGCTTCTTACTAGTGGACAGAATTGATCTGTTTGGTTTTTTTTGTGTGTGTGTTTTTTTGTTTTGTTTTTTTAAATTGATGACTTTTGATTTGGATCTTTCTAACATTATCTTCTATTAAATCCTCATCTATTTCTGGTTCCTGTAGGATGAGAGAATCTGGCAACTCTTGCAAATTAGAGGGGGGGAGGGGGAAGTTTTTTAACGAGGTCCTGCTCAAATGCACAGAGCCAACTTGGTCTTGTGCTGGAGCAAATGCCTCCCTATGATGGGATATAAGGAAACACAGAGAGGGCACACCTGGGATCTGGAGAGCTTATTTCCTGGGCTGGAGCCTGTTGGGCTTGGCCTAGCCTGGTTCTGAGTGCACAACTATGCTAGAATGGAACCGTGCTCCTCCAAATCTCTGTTGTTTCAGCATATCCCCTGCCTTCCTCCTGCCCTTGACAGTGGTGAGATGGTTGTAGTTACCCTCCGCCTTCCAGCAGAGCCTCCATAAACAGTACTGTAGCCCATTAATGTTAATCTGCCTGAAGGTGTCTTCACTTATCCTTCAGTTTTAACTGCTATAAAATGATGGCTGATTTCTCTCTGCTGTAGAGAACAGTAGAGCAATTAAAATCGTAGTCTCGTGTTTAAAAGGGCAAACTGATTCTCATTCTTCCCTCAAGAAAACTTCAAGCTGTAGGCACCTATTTTCCTGTTTAAAGACAGGAAATTTCGAAGTACTTGTAAGTCTCAACTTTGGAGGCGATTATTGTTAAATGTTCAAGAGGCACTTCAGTATGTATAGCTGAATTCTGACTTCCATCAAATGGTTTTAATTACCTTGTAATCACATGGGATCCAGGGCTTGTCTGCCGAGACAGATGTGCAATGACTCCCCTTCTGGCTTACCTCCTAAGTACAGGAGTCTATCTAAAGTATACAGCACGAGTTTTGTCAAAGAAGAAGAAAACCCACCTTGCTGTTTCAAAATTGGTCAGAACATTCTCTTTTCTTTTTTTTTTTTTTCTTTTTCCCCTCCCCACCCTACTGCTGTAGAGGAAACAGTCCCTATTTCAGTAAGGGCATAACTGGTTCAGTTATTCCTCTGACAGAGTTGGCATGGACATAGGTTGTCTGCAGTTACTCATGTTTGATAGGAAATGAATTCTGCATATGGAATAACGGCTAATCTTAGTCACTCTGTTTTAAAGATGCAGGCAAGATAGGAGAGCCAGCTAAGGTGTTTAGAGATATGATGCGATTACTATTTGAGAGATTGTGAAGACTCTTGTATTGAAAGAAGGAGAGTTAGATTTGACTAAAGTATTTAAATCAAAAGTGATATTTGAAACTGGTTGTTCCTTTCATGTCGTGGGACCCGATGAAAGAAAGAAAGGATGGTCTCTGAAATAGCAGGCCAGTAAGAAGCAGCAGTGATTCTTGTGTTGGTTTGTGAGGTACTAGTGCTTTTAGAAATAGTGACTGAGAAGAACTGATTAAATATCTCACTTGACATACCACGAATTACTAATCAGTCTCCTGGTTTCATAGCCAACTTGTGGTCAGGAAGCTGTCATCCTGCTTCCACCTGCTTCCAGCCCTCGCCCCTCAGGTGGGGAGAGCAATTAGCTCTCTGAAGGAGGAATATTCCTACACTGGAGAGTACCATCAAGATTGAAGTCTTCTTCCAACTGAGAGAAAGTGCAAAATGTACTTGCCGTCAGGTGTGCTGGGCGCATTCCCTCTGTGGTGTGCAGCACTAAAAACATACTTTCCCATGTGCTTAATACTTGAAACCTTTAAATAAGGGAGTCAGTGTAAAACAAGGGAAATCTAGTGCTGTTGTTGCAAATACTTGACCCCTGAGCAGCTTGGTTTCCAGCAGTGGCGTGTGCTATAGATGATGTGGTGCTCAGTGAAGTCGAGCAATCTGATCTGCATGTGGCAGGACATTGTGATGGGACCTCCCGTTACTGCATGAAGCAGATAAAGTACGCTGGTGCTTAAAATCATTGGAGCGGTAAAGCAGCATAATGACATCCCTGCATTTTCATTATTTTTATCAGTTTCAACAGCATATATTGGGCACACGCATTAGTGTACACTCCTGTTTGTTGGGTTTTTTAATGACTGGACGAATTATTAAAAGTATCAGCAGAAGCCAAAATGCTTTGTTCAGGCAGCAAATGGGTGTACAGTGATGTGAAAATGAATAGAAATTTTGCCTTTTTTTTTTTTTGTAATAGCATATGAAATTGTTGGGCCACTGGAAATACTTTTTGGAATTTTTTTTTTTTTCAATAACAAAACCAAGATTGCAGTGGTATCAGATGTCTGGGTAATACAAATTCATTAGCACTTCCTGCTGTCTCGCTGAGAAACAGAGAAAAACAAATGTAACACCTGCTGAGAAATAGCATCTGCTTGGAAATAATCTGATGCAAGTACTTTGTCTAACTTGAGAAACCTGGGAGGCTTGGATCTGCAAATGAGACTGTGAGGATTATAACAGTGAAAGAGCAGTCTCATTAAAGACTTCAACAGTTGCTTCCCTTGATAAATCTTGATATCAAAGAATATTTAAATTTCGTGTCTTAAGCATTCAGTTACTACTTACAGTAATAATATAGGTTTACTTCAAAAAAACCAAAACAACCCAAAAAAACTCTGTAGGCCTGGAATTTCATAAAAATTCATGAATACGTTACAGCACCTCTCTTGCTTTCATTCCTGAGAAATGCAACTCTTGAAATAAGAGCATGCCTTTGGAAAAAAACCCTAAAACTATAACTGTCTGCACATTATGCAGAGGTGTAAAAAGCAAATATTTGTCTTTCACTAACAGTATGAACTTACTGGTAACCTGAAATCCACCTTTATTGTCATTAAAGAGGGAGACGCTTTCTGTCGTCTTGATTGAGTGCAGACTGTGGGAGAGGAAGGAATATGAATTTGAAGACTCTGTATAACGCATCCGTCAGTTGAACAGTGATATAGGGACTAACATGGTGCAGTGGGCTCTTCTAATACTAGTTGCTGAAACTTGCTTCTTGACTTCTGTTTCGTCCCAGTCCTAGATGCTCGTTATGTTCGTCCATGTGACTGTTGTAACATCTAGAGAGTGTTCTGACCTACCGCTAGTAACCTCCCTTCTCCTTCCTTTCCAAAAAGTGTGATGAACCTAAAGAAAGAAAATTACCTCATTTATATGTGAAAATGAATCTCCTCTGCTCCAAGGTTTTCTTATTTGGAAAAAAACCATGGCAAGCTGAAATTGTGGTTTTGCTGTTTATATATGGTAATAGCAAAGCTTCAGTTTTGGTGAGTGGTTGAGTTCTTTAAATTGACATTTGTAAAGATTTGTGTAATCTTTTTTCATTCACTTTTCTTATAAAAGCTATTAAAGATTATGAGACTGCTCAAGCCAATAGTGAAAATGACCAGCAGATTCGGGAGGGGCTAGAACGTGCCCAGCGGATGCTGAAGCAATCACAGAAGAGGGATTACTATAAAATCTTGGGAGTGAAAAGGTGAGATACTAATATCTGAGATGATGATGTAAAAGTTGGTTATTAAACCAGTACATCTAGGGCTGATCACTTGAATTTGTTCTGTTGAGTGTTAGTTCGTGTTCCTGTATCTTGCTACCTTCACTTTTCTACTGTACTGGTTTAGCAGTGTTCAGCTTTTAAGTAGCATTTTGTTTACAAATCCTTTAGAAAGAATGAAAAAACAACATTGGGAAGGAAGGAAATAAATCCTTTGGCAAGAAATTCTTATATAGATGATCAAGAGTCAGGTGAATGAATTGGGGAAGAAATGAAGGCTAGAAAGAATTACTGAAAGCAACAAAAATAAAATTGTGGCAGATGGTATGATAGATTGGAAGAGTTTGAAAGGACTGATTGAAAGGTGTCTAAAACACTTCTGCCATTAACCTTAAACCAATGACTTCCCTTTCTAATGAGAGGACCAAACAGATGTCCACTTCTGAACTAGTATTGGTCATCCTTCCAGTCGTGAACTAATTTGATCTCTACTCTTTTTGTGCTTTTTGTTACTCACCTGATTGTAAATTCTTCAGACTGGGAACTGTATTCTGCATAGTAGCTGGCAGTAGCATCTTTCCAAAGACAGTAAATGGGTGGTGAAGGAAAGAGTGAGTAATCTTTGTTTAAAGTTGCAACCTGCTTCCTCTGGTTTTTGTGTAAAGAATCTTCAGTGCCACCTGCAAAAGGTTAACTAACTCATAATTTTCCTGGTGCCCTTAATTACCGTCTCAGTGTTTAAAATAAACCTGTAGCTTCACTAGTGTGGCATATGAACAATTAGAAAATTTTAGGTTATCTATAATTTTATCCATCCAGAAATGCTCGGAAGCAAGAAATCATAAAAGCTTACAGAAAGCTGGCATCCCAGTGGCACCCTGATAACTTCCAGAGTGAGGAAGAAAAGAAGCAAGCAGAGAAAAAATTCATTGATATAGCAGCTGCTAAGGAAGTCCTCACTGACCCAGGTAATGATTGTTCTTATGCAGTGACTTTGTTTTTGTTTTTTGTTTTTTTTTTAATTACACTTTTACAGTAATGTAAAAATGCAGCAAGTGTAAATCATAACAAGCATTACAGCTTCCCTTTTTCTCTTTCCCCCCTTATCCATCTTCAGAAAGCAATGCACTAATACTGGCATCCAGTCTGTTGCATGAAGTCAGATGTCAACCTGGAATTATTTATTGTGTTTCAGTGACTTTTGTTTAAAGTCAAAATAATTATTTCAAAGGTCTCTTCTTAGGATACCATCTTGCAGAGATTTCTGGGATTGCTTACCCCTGGAGATGCTTACTTTAAGGACATGGGCGTCTCTTTCTACCTAAAGTTCTGTTGCAAGCTACATTTAGATTAACAGCACCTGAAGTACTCCAGAGAAGCCCTCAAAATTGGCTTTTGTTGTGTGTATCAAAGCCTAGACGCACTGTGCAAACAGAGCATTTCCCCAAGAGCAGGGGACTGAGCTCTCGGTTCCTGTCGGCCTGAGGGAGAGGATGCCCTCGCTGCTGGTCTGTGGCCAGGCTCCTGGGGCCGGCCCAGTCCCTGGGAGCAAGAAGCCCTGTCAGGTCTGGCTGGCTGCTGGTCAGCTCTGGAGGAGGGGAAAAAAGTGAAGAAAGTGTTCACTCTCCTGGGCGACCCTGTGGTGTGGTGACTAGGAGATCAAGAACGTAATAAAAACCAGGGTGGTGTGGTTATCTCACCTCCTTTAAAACAAACAAACAAACCCAAACAACAACAAAAAACACCACAAAACCCAACAACAACAACAAAAAAAAACAAACCAAAAAACAAACCAAAAACAAAAAAAACCCCAAAACCTTCAACCAGAGCCATCTGTTAAGTTCTTGTCTTTAAACTGTTCCTGTGTGGTCACTGGAAAGAGAGAAGCACATAAAAGATGTAGATAGCGGAGACTCCTGTTTTTATCTTCAGGTGTTCAGGGCCATTTAAGTGATAATTAGGCAGAATAAATTAATTCCCTTTGTTGGGGGAAGGAGGGATCTGAGTGATGAACTGCATTACAAGCACTTCTGGTCAGAAAACCTTTTTCTATGTTAATGTGATCTTTGTTCATAATTATGAACACGAATTAGGGGATTTCTATACTGGAAGCATTTGAGATGCCATTTACCGTGTCAGCATCTCCAGGACACGTTCAGCTACTTTCTCCTTGACACTGTTTCTTATGTCATGTTTACCATTCCTGTCAAACCGACTGGGCAAGAAAAGTAACACCGGTCGTAGTTGTCTTTTGTAATGCCATCTGGATCGCTTTCTGTCTCTTCTTCCTGCAATGACATTCTCTCCTTTCAATCCAGGTATTTTTCCCAGGTCATTTTCTGGCTCTAGTGACCATGTTGGTTATGTAAAGAAAAATTTTATAAAGCCTCTGAATCTCTGAGCTTTGATTCACAAGCTTATTATCGTAGGGCTCTGGTGTACGAGGCCATCTTCCACATTCCTCCCCAGCTGGACTCATGATTCTCCCCTAACTCCTTTGCTTCTCTTCTCTGCCTTGATAAAATGGGTGTCCTGAAAAAGTGCCGGGTGATCAAAAACCCTGTGGCGTTTGCAGGCTGCTTGGAGGTTATATGCAGGTGTAAATAACAGAGTAGTGGTGTAGCCTGTGACTTGTCTGTGGGTCTTGGGGAAGGCTTTCAGCTTTCTCCCCACTGGACAAAACTACTTCAAGAACCTGCTTTCTGCTTCCAAACTGCTGTCCCCTAGACAGCTCTCTGCCTGAATGGTAAGTGGAGAAGCTTGAAAACATTTGGGGCTCTGCATGTTGACTTTTGTGCTGTTGCTGAATGATCAATATTGGAATTTATTGATTGCAAAGAATTGGCAGGGTACGGCACGGTCTGTGCTCGGACTCTCCCGAGTGAGTGCAGCTGTGAGAGTATAGGTCCAATAAACTCATCAAGGACAAAATGTCCCAATTATTTGTGGGACACAGTTGGTCAAGGTGCAACTGTCATGTCCCTGTTGAAATTCATACCTGTCCTGTTGGGCAGCCAGGTACTGTCTTGCCTTGTTTTAAACCAAATGACTTGTTCGAAGTTTTTTGTACAGTGTTTTCACGGAGTTCCTCTTCTGTGCCAGTCTCCTGTACAGCTTTGAAAAACTCGGAGTGATTCGGTTCTACAGATGCTGCCAATACAAGTGCTGATTGCAGCTCTCTGGCCTGGGGGGGTTCTGAGTTGGTTATTGGTCGTGAAAGATGCTTGGTGTTACTGCCCTGACTGCTGCGCCATGATTCCCCCTTGGTTTTGTTTCCTTCAGAAATGAGGCGGAAGTTTGATGCGGGAGAGGACCCACTGGATGCGGAGAGTCAGCAGGGTGGGGGCAACCCTTTCCACAGGAACTGGAACACATGGCAAGGATTCAACCCCTTTGGTTCTGGAGGAGGACCATTTACATTCAAATTTCACTTCAGTTAGAGCCAAGACTGTTTCTGGTGGCTGCTGCTCTTTTTTACTTAATTCGTTGAAAAATAAAAAGTCTCTCAGTTCAAGACCCAAAATCTTAATTTCTAATGTTGTCCTTAACCCAGAGTCTTACTGCACTAGAAGAAGGCTCCTTCTTTCCTTTTAGTATTCAGAGAGTTTGCTTTGTGGTGAACTTGACAAGCTCGTGCTGGTTGGGGGGGTTTGTTACTGCCTATGTATTTGCTGTGGATATGCAGGACATGTTTATTCCTACGGATGGAAAAAACAGTAAGAGGCTCCTTAGGACAACACTTAAACATAAATTTAGGACTCAAGTATATGCTTAAGGGTAAAGATGCATGTAAATATTTTTCTGAATCAGGGCCTAATCAACGTGGAAAGGGTAGTTACAATAGTCTCTGCGTTAACAAATCGTTAGTCGTCGTGCTCAGCAGAGTGGTCCATCTCTCAGTATTCTTAAAAGGAAACCCTAGTGACCACCTGCTGTATTACTGTCGGCGGTGCCATAGGTAGGGTGAAGAGGCTGCGTGCCGAACGCGTCTGAACAGTCGCGCTGAAAGAAGATGGCTTGTAAGTAATTGTATATGAAAATGTCTCTCGCTTTATTCATTGACCTGAAATGAATTGGGATGATTTCCTTGGCAGCAATTGTCAAATGAAAGTAAAAAAAAAAAAAAAATATACGTGATGTTTTTCGAAAGACTTTGAGTGTGATTTGGGATGTTTAGGTATCGTTTTTGAGTAGTTTGCACTTTAACAAAATACCTGCTTGAGATTTGAGCAAAAAAATTGGATTGTGACATTTCCCCGACTATGCAGCAATTTGTAACTTCTCTGTACATAAACTCAGAACCGACAGGGGTGGTGAGGGGAGTGTACTGCGGACTGTAGGAACACCCTGTTAACTCTAGCCTTCCCCCGTAGTCCGACTTCATTTCTGCTGGGTGATGCAACAGTGAGGTAATACCACGTGAAATTGTTTGAAGTAACTTTTATATTTTGTGTAACAGCCACAATACTGCAAAAACAACTGCCTGTGTGCAAAAAGAGGGACTACCTTTCCATTAGCCAAAATATCCGGTTTATTTTTTCGATATGCACATAGCTCAAATGGGGTTAGTGTATTGATCGAACCGTGTGAATGCAATGTGAGGTATTACCGGGCCTGTAGCTGCTGTGAGTGCGTAGTCTTCTCATTCTGTAACCAAATGTATCGTAATTACTGATGAGTTTCAGCAGCAGCCATTCTCTTAGAATGCAAGAATTACAGTTCATCAGTGTTTTCTTGATTGGATTTTAACTGGAAAACAATAATCAGCTGAAAGGAGTCTTCTCTCACTTCAACTCACGGCATTTGAAAGCATAAGCAGCCTCAGTAAAACAAATGAAATTAGCAAATAAGGCCTTCAAGCTGAAAGTGGGTTTTTTATTACTGTAATCGGAGTTGCTATTGAAGCATAACACTTGTCTCCTGCCTCAAGTACTTTACAAACCTAATTGTGAGGCCATGTGGCTTCCTAAAATGTTTTTCAACAGCAATTTAAAGGTCAGCGTTTGTGCAGCAGAAATTCATCTTCAAGCTGAAGAGCGTACGTGGTGATTTCTAACAGTTTATAGTACAAAAACACCCCAGCAGCCTGTTAAACTCCAGCGTTGGATATTTTCCAAGTTGAGTGACTTTCCAGAAGTTTGACTTCTGCTTTTGACCTGTCTGAAAGCTTTTTGTTTCAACTCTGTAGCGGACGCTCAGGACGCTGTTGACGCCGTTCTAGGCTGGCATGGTTCTGGTAGGACCTCTAGGGCTCAGACATAGGAACTTGCTGCACAATAAATACCCTGTTACCCCGTGGTGTCAGCCGATGCAGGCAGCTCTCTCCGCATGTGCTTTTTGCTCACCGTAAGTAAGAGATCGGTAGGTAGCTTTCACGTACAGCGGCCTCTCTCCTCCGCCCTCTGTCCCTGAGGGGGAGCCAGGCCCGGCCGCGCCGGCTGCGGGCCGGGTGGCTGCCGTACGGTGTGCCGGGTGCGCGCGTTGGTGTGCGAGCCGTCGCTCTGTTTTTTATATTGCCTTCTTCACTACAGAAGGGGCTGGTTTTACGTTAATATTGAATGACCGGTGTAAGCAGTATGTCCTCATTTGTACATACAGGAGTGTTGTTCAGTTCGAGGAAGTCACAGTAGATACCGCAGACGTTTGCGTGCTAGGGAAGTGCTAAAAACGTCTTTTACAGGACTTTTACAGGTGTTCAGCTTTTCTGTTCTCATCCCTCTCCCTTCTCTCTTTTAAAAGCTATAGCTGAGAAAATGGTTTCCTGGGTTTTAATTTTTTTTTTTTTTTTTTTTTTTAAAGGAAGGAATAAGATGGTCCCTCATAAGTAAATTACTCATACAAGGCACTGATGTTAGAGCAGTGCGTATTTGTTTCTCTAAGGGAATGGGCCATTGTGCCGTATGCTGGAAGCAGTCAGAACAAAAAAGATTATGTTTTGAAAAACGAATGGCAAAGGGAAAAATGCATATTAAGGAAAAAAAAAGAAAAGGCTTGAATGTAGTCAGTAGAAGGAGGAGGACGATTACCGTGTGAATGCTGTTCGTAGATTCCTTCTGTGGAAGACAGCGTCTTGAAAACACGCAAAAAATGGCAATGGGGAATAAGGCTTTCTGACACTAAGCAGCTGCCGATTACAAGAAGCGTTACCGCTCCGGTGCTGGTTTTAAGGGAGCAGATACTGGCTCTTAGCTGTAGGGTACTGCTGAAAATACAGAAGGACAAAGTTGTGATAAAAAGAAAGCATTTACACGTCGAGGATCTCCAGATACGGTGGTGCATCTCCTGATGTGACTTCAGCAGGTGGAGCGCTGGTGCCGCACTGGGTGTTAGTGGTGCAGGCCGTGCACAAGGAAGCTGAATTCGCCTTTTTATTTATTAGTGGGTGTCTGTAGTGCAATAACGTTCGATAACTGAACATGGAAATAAATGTCTTGTTAGTTTGTAAACCCGGAGATGTGCATGAAGCATCGTTACAATCATTGGCCTACGTGTAGACGCAAACTTTCTCTGTTTGTTGAATTCTCTCTTTCAGTTTTAATAAACTAGTTTCCAACTTGTTCTAAAATGAAGGGGGGGGGGAGCGTATTTTACTTGATACTTGCTTAATACTGATGTATTAATAAATCAGTATTAAAACAGATTCAAAGTGAATTACGAACTTAAGAGCTCAAACTTGTGACATACGCAGAAAATGTGTCAGCTTAAACTTTTTAAAAAAAAAAAAAATAAAGCTTGTTATCATTTCAGTTTTCAGACCAATGTTTGGAGTAAGAATTATTCTTCTGTTTGGGCTGTGATTTGTAGGAGCTTCGCTGGAAACTAGCCAGTATAGCATAGCAGGTTAGTTGTATTTAAAAGTGCCTTACTGTAAGGTATTGTTCGCTCTGTCATACACACTTTTATCCATAAAATAATAAAAAAATAAATGGGAGAATAATTTTATTTTTTTTTTTTTCCCCTCAGCAAATCTCAAAGTAGCAGTTTTATGTTTTAAGAAGGATAAGTTAAAGCTAGCCGGAGATTTATCAAATGTTTCAAATTATAAAATGTCTTTATATAAAATCATAAATCTAAAAAGCAAGAACTGTTTTTTCTACAACTGTGGGAATTATTTTATGGTACTTTTCACAATAAAGATATTTATGATGACAAGAAAACCCTGCAGTGTATTTGTCTGCCCTTCTTTCCTCAGCCCGCTCTCCACATTCGAAGTTAGAGCTGCGCAGAAACGCAGTAAAAGGCTGCCGAAACTCCGGCCGGGGGGGGGCTCGATTAAAAGGTCTTGAGCGGCTGACGCGACAGTTGTCGGGCTTTAGCAAGTCAGGCACGGAGCGGAGCAGCGTTGGGTCTCAAAACTTCAGTTTTCCTCCCCTCGGGCGGGACACAGCTGGTTGGCAGCCCCCTCTCCTCGCAGCCGAGCGGGCAGGAGGAGCGTGGCGACAGCTCTTGGGTTGAAGGTAGGGGAGGAGGTTTGACAAAGCGTCCCGGGCGGGTGCCTGGCTGCGGGCAGAAGCAAATCGCAGCCGGTCTTTCTGGGTAGCGGCCTGCCCCAGGAAGGCCTCCGGGCCCTCGGCGACGCGAGGGGAGAGGAGGAACGGCCTCCGCCCTCTCTCCTGAGGCTGGAACTTGGGGCCACCCAGCAGCTCTGGGGAGAGGAGGAGGGTGGCTGGGGGCGTGCGGGATGCGCAAGATGAGCGTGTGCTCTAAGTGCGGTTTCTAGGCAATGATGAAAGCTACTTCTAAAGACAGGAAACTGATTGTTTATTATTTCGTTTTAATCCAGCGAATGTTCTAAGGGGGCTGACAAAAGCACCAGAACTTGGAACGCAGGTGAGAAGTTGCTGAGCCCGCTGGAGTTGCGACGGCAGCAGCCCTTCCAGCCAGGCGGCCGGCCGAGGAGAGCCAGAGGCAGAGCTCCTCCGCCAAGGCAGAGCCAGCGGGCGGCTGGAGCAGAAACCGCACCCCGCAGCAGGCCTTGCCCTCACGGCGCTCCAGTAGCGCTTGAACTCCACCGGCGACTTCGCCGAAGACTGCAGCGATTCACAGGCGGTGCCACAAAGCGGCCGCCGAGGGCTCCATCTATGCACCCATACAGCCCCGTCAGAAATGAAGCGGAGTCGTGCCCGCGGCGTCTGTGCAGATGGCAACCCTGCCTGACGTCACCCAGAGCGTGTATACGCGCGTGAATGACCACGTGAATACGTAAGCGAGCTGCTTACCAGTCATCAAAACGTGCGCGTTATTTTCTTAACCTCTGCCTTAGAAACTGTGAATTTTTAGGAATTCCAGCTTGGAAGCAATTGATTGTACACGTTGGCTTGTGTGGGTATGCAGAGGTGAAGGGCATGGACGCGTACACAGCTGGTGAGAGCGAAGGCGTCGGAGTTTAAAATTACAGGGCTTGCAGCTGCCAAATGTGGGCAAGTGAACCCAGATGACAGAAGGTGAGATGAGATTTTTGGGGATGGCTGGAAGCAAGGGCTTCTTGACTGAGGCCGGGTTTTATGTGCGATTCCTTAGTGT